CATTGCCAGACAGGTGCTTTTCCTCCTCCTGCTCTTGCTCCTGCCTCCCCTCTTGCTCCTGCTCCTCTTCCTCCTCCTGCTTATTCTTCTGCCTCCCCTCCTCCTCGTCCTTTCTCTCCTGTGTGTCTGGGAGGCTTTTCTGACAGGTTTCTGTGAAGTTTACATGTGACATGTTACTTTATCGCAGTCTGTTCTATGCTCTTAACCCCAGGCACACACACAAATGATATTCTTTCCTGTTCATTATGTTACTGATGTGACATGTAAACAGTTTACATGTTTTATGGTGTATATCTCTACATTTTTTGGATGTAGGTATTAATCTAGTATGTGATCTATTTTAAGGAAAGTACCACATGCTGCAGAGAAAATGTATACTCTGCTCTAATAGTGTGGCATATTCTAGATGTCTATTAAATCCTGTATTTAAGCGTGTGACTCAGCTGCGATATTTCTGTAGTGAGTCTTTATTTAGCTGATGTCTGTCTTTACAGAAATATGTTGTTAATATCCATGACTCTGGCTGTATCAGTAGTTCCTTGATCTTATTCCCTTTTTCTTATTCTTCCTTTTTTTCCCCCTACAGGGTTATGCTGTATCATTTGGGCTGGCCTTATATTCATAGCGTCACCTAGGGTTGCCTTAAACTTGCATCTGTCCTCCTGCCTCAGCCTCCTAGGTGCTGGGATTACAGCGGTGCAGCACCACAGCTGGCCTCTACTTGACCTTTTATGTTCAGCAATGTTTGCTTTATGAAGATAGGTGTCCTAGTGCACGGTGCATAAATATCTATGAATCTTATGTCTTCTTATCATGGGCTTTTCCCTGAGCTAGGTTGTAGTGACCCTATTTTCTGCTGATGTTTACATTGAAGTTTACACCTTTAGCTTGAACTTTGCATTGCCAGAAATTAAAACCATCACTCCTGCTTGCTTTTGGTGTCCTGGTATATAAAATATTGTGTTCTACCTTTGATCTTTAACCGGGGCTATCCTTTTTTGATTAGATGAGTTTCTTGAATGCAGCGAATTGTTGGATTCTGTTTTTTGATCTGGTTTATCAATTTGTGTCTTTTAATTGGGGAGTTTAAGTCACTAACATTGAGACACATTGCTCATAGGTATTAATTCCTCCCATTGTACTCTGCAGGTTTCCCTTTGGTTTTCTTTTTCTGTTATATTTGTAGTTGCTGTTCATTTTGGTTTGTGTTTTCATGTGATCTGGGATTTAGCTTTGGTGGTTTTGCCTTTTTTGTCTAAAATATTGTTGAATGTTTTTGGATTGTCTGTTTAGTATTCATGTATGTCTTGAACTGCTCTGTGTCTTGAGATGTCCCAATGTCCCCATCTATAGTGAAGGTAAATTTTGCTGAATGTGTTAAATTGAGTCGAAAGTTGTTTGCTCTTGGAGGTTTGCCTCAGTTACTCTTCTCTCATTGGTATGACAAGTATGTGATACTCAAATTGAAGGAAGGGAAGGTTTACTTAGCTGACAGTTCCTGAGGCTTCATTTCATACTCAGCTGGCTCCAAAGCAGAGTGGCTCATGGCAGAGAGCAACCTTTCATGGTGGTGACAAAGAACAAGGGCAAATGGGAGGAGTGGCAGCCACAATGGCTACAGAGAGGAAGTTGGTCTCCCTTAAGTTGCATTCAGGCTATCGCCCCAGGCTGGGAGCAGTATTCACACCCATAATCCCAGCAGCATTTACAGCCATAATCCCAGTGGGTCATGAGTTGATCTGAAACTCTAGAAGTCTGTGCCATGATTGCACAAGGCTTTGCGGGGACAACAGTCACAAACCATAACATTCCACCCCTGGACATGGAAAGACTGATGCTCATTGCTTTGTGCAAAAGACATTTTAGTCCATCTCTAAGAGTTGCCAAATTCCTACACTTTCAGCATTGCTCAAAAGTCCAAGTCCCAGCTCTCCTCCAAGATCCAAGGCAAACACTTAGCTGTGAGACCTTTTTTTTTCTTTTTAAAAAAAGAAAGAAATGTTAAACACTTCCAGCATTCAATTGCACAAAATAAACATGACCATTCCAAAAGATACACACAGCAGGATACCAAGCACAGGGACAAACACAATGGGTTGCTTGTGGAACATCTGAAGAAATCTGTGGCAGCAACTGGCAGGGGCTCCACGTGTGGTGATGCTGGTCACAGCTCCGTGGCTGCCACATTTCATGCTACCATTGCTTTGTGTGGTCTACTCTCTTCAGTCTCACGTGGCCATGACACAGGATCTCAGAGATGAGTGGTGGGAAAATCAGCCAGCAGGAGCAGCCAGCAGCCCAGCGCAAGAAGTACCAGTGAAGGCTAGTCTTTCTCAAAGTTTATTGTGAAACAAAACAGGACAATATAACTAGATGGAGAAATGAAATTGTCTGCATTGCCATTAAAATTTTAACAATAAAATTTGTCATCATGATATTTAAACTTGCTTTGTTTGTGTGCTGTTTTGGAGAATCATCAGATGGCGAAGGAGGAGGACAAACAAAAATGACACTGCAAGAGACAGCTTCAGTTCCTATATCATAAAAAAAACACCAAAAAAGGAAAAAAAGAAAAAAAAACCCAACTGAACAGCCTAAAGAATGTTTTTTGATACAACCAAAGGAAACAAATGAAGATGCCACCAAGAACAGGAAGATGAAAAAGAAGAAAATCACTGATCTTTATGCAAAATTAGAGTGAAAACCAGGGACATCTGAAGATCTACAGATGCTGATGAATAACTATTACAGCAGCAATTGCTCAGTGACTGAATTCAAAGAACAGAACCTACCAGATTCTTGTTTCCTCAAGTTCAAAGACTTGACTCACAGTTTTTCATCACACTTAAAAAAATTTGTCCTAAGTGGGTAAAACTTCGGAAAAACCACAATGAGAAGAAGTCTATCCTGATGCTGATCTTTTGCAGCTC